GGGGGTCGCCTGGGCCTTCTTTCCACAGTGAGCCAGGGCTGTCCCAAGGAGGACCTTCTGCTGTACCTGCACCCTAGCGTCAGGGTGACGGCGATGTGGAACACCATCCCCATGCACCCCACAAACGGTACCCGAGCTCCCACACATGCCAGGCGCGGGGACACGGGCAGGACTAAAGGTGCCCACGGCCTGCCCTGGCCGCAGAGGGCACGCAGGGATGTGGAGGAGGAGCCAAGCCAGGCGTGCTGGGAAGAGGAGAGCCCCGGCTCGGGACACACAGGGCCTGGGGCCATGCAGCGAGTCCCCCTGCATCAGCCAGAGAGGAGGGGTGCGCGAGGCACTGGGTAGACCCCGGCGGTGAGGGCTGTCAGGGCGCTGGGACTTGGAAGCACACGAAAGCCTGATAACTTTTTCAGAAGGTTTTCAGATGGGACCTGGGCGGGTGGGGGTGGACATGTCCCTGAGCCACTGACCCCAAACCCCCGTCCCCTCTCCAGAAAGCGTGGCTTCCGTTTCAGGCACCCTCTCATTGCCTGGCCTGGAACCGGAGCCTCCCGCACGCTCTGCCCCCACTGCCTCCAGCTGTTGGCACCTGCTCTGCCAGGTCCACATGCCTCCTCCGGGCTCCTGCTCGGATTGGCTTGGGGCACCTTGACCCCTCCATCCGGGATCGCTGCACTGTCTCATCACGGTCCCCTCCACCATACCACCAAGCTTCTCCGTTTATGATTCCAGAACCATCTGCTGTCAGGCTGGCTCTCTGGGGGCCCACAACTGTGCGCACATGGGGGTAGGTCTCGACCAAGGATGGGAGAGGTCTGTGAGGTGCAGCGCTGTTGGATCCCAGTTGGGACCCTCGTGGCCCTCGTCTGAGCCTCCATCCTGGGCATGGGAAAGTTCCACTTAATGAACGGCCTTAGGGGGCCACCAGATCTGATGTGTGTGTGTCAGGGGTGCTCTCCCTGGGTGGGGGAGACCAGTGCCCTTGCTGGCATCTCCATGGGGCAAGGACCCACCCAGGGTGAAGGGCCCAGGGACACACGCTTGAGAGGGTGCTGGTCAGTGGGCACCAGTAGGGTGGGGTGAGGACGACGTCAGGTCCCCCTCTACCCAGGTGGCCTGCGGCTCCCTCCAGGGACCCCCCACCTTGGCCCAAGCTCTGGCCGCACATTCCTTCCCAGCCAGGCACGCAGGGCTCAGCTAGAGAGGCCCCTAGGGCCACCCATCGATCGGGCTTAGTGCTTCTGCCCAGCCTGGGCACTGAGCTTGCTTTTTTTTTTTTTTAAAGATTTTATTTATTTATTTGAGATAGTGAGGGAGTGTGTAAGAGAAAGTGCATGCGAGCGCACAAGCAGGGGGAGCAGCAGAGGGAGAGGGAGAAGCAGACTCCCCGCTGAGCAGGGAGCCTGATGCGGGATTCGATTCCAGGACCCCGGGATCATGACCTGAGCCGAAGGCAGACGCTTAACCAACTGAGCCACCCAGGTGCCCCCGAGCTTTCTGATATGCATTTGTACACATGGCCTGAATTAGGCCTTGGCCCGCCTCCATTTCCTCACTCAGTGTTGGTGAGAGCTGCCTCCGTGGCCCAGTGCCCACAGAGAAGCACCATTAGGTGCAGAGGGTACCCCTCAGTGCCCCCTGTAGGACCCAAGTGTCCCACCCTGTGGGATGGTATGCAGGCAGAGCTGAGCCCAGGCTGCTGCTCCTGTCCTCCAACCACGCCCTGGCCACTTAGCCTGCCCTAACGCTCCAGTCACGACTCTTCGTGGCTTTACTGCATTTCCCTGATGATGCATGCCTTCAGCCCCTTTTCTTCCTTTTTTTTTTTTTTCTTTTAAAGATTTATATATTTGTTGTTAAGACAGTGGGTGGGGCAAAGGGAGAGGGAGAGAGATTTCCAAGCGGACTCTGCGCTGAGCGTGGAGTCTGATGTGGGGCTTGATCTCTCCACCTGAGAACACGACCTGAGCCGAAACCAAGAGTCGTATGCTTAACTGACTGCACCACTCAGGCACCCCGAGCCCTTTTTCTTTAAGAACACCCCCAAACCCACCCACCCTCACCCCACCACAGTCCCCCCACTTGGCTGATAACACCCAGTGTCTGGGGATTTTTGCAAGGGGGTGCTCAGGAGAGGCCCCATGGAGGAGATGACGATGCAGGAGGAGGAGGGAGAGTTCCAGATAGGGGGAGGAGCCCGGGGAAAGTCATCAGGTAGAATGATTTGGCAAGGTTAGGAACCAAGGTGGGGGTGTGTCCCTCCCTTGTGATGGAGTAGAAGGGAGAGTGGAGGATGGTGTGGAGCTCCCACCCACGAGTCACAGTGTTCCTCCATGGAGAAACAAAGTCAGTCCTTGGACCCCGTGCTGGGTTCTGGAGGAGCCTGATCCCCTGTGATCCTCAGTTTCCTCGAGGTGGCCCAGAGCGATGTGGCCTGAGTCCTGCCCGTGGCCTTGTCTCTGGTGGCCCCGGCACCCACCTGTAGGCTTGGCTCCATACCCCAAAGAAAATAAACAGAACTTCAGAAAGCCATCGTCAGGGGACGGGATTACTTCTGTAAGGAACGAGGCACTGAGGTGGTTACAACATACAAGACAGCAATAAACCGAATCAGATGACCTCCCGGCCACCCCTGCTCGTCCCCCAGAAACTCCCGACTCATGTCTCTTCTGTGCTCCCCTCTCTTTCACCTCAAACCCTACTCTGGTCTCCTTCCTGACACCCCCACCCCCAGCGGATGCCCCCAAAGGCAGCCAAACCCCAGCTAGCTACCTGGGAGGGCCCCATTCTAGCCCCATTTCAAAGACGGGGAGACTCAGAGGCTTGTCATAAGCCCGAAGATGGTGGGACTGGTGCACAGTGGGTCTTCTGACTCAGGTGCCAGTGGGCACAGGGGAGGTCCCTGCAGTCCAGGGAGGGGACAGGCAGATGTCAGAAGGAGGCTTTGGACCCCGGGGCAGGGTCTGCTTGGCTCTGGTCTCCCTGCTGCCACGGCGGCCTCTGTGGGCTCTCGTGGGCTCTGGGGTCCCGCTCCCCACCCCGGCTGCCTGTTAAAATGTCACGGAGCCTGGTAGCAGTGGGGCGGGATCCCCGTCAGGACGGTGGTCATGGGATGCTGACTCACTGCCGACCGGACCACCTGACCTCTCCCGGCAGGCGACAGGGCCCTGCCAGGGGGTTCCCCAGCTGCGGCCTTGTTTACTTCTCACTGGCCTTGGGGGAGGAGGGGAGGCCAGGGCCACGCTCAGTGGGAGGGCATCCTGGGAAGGCCAGAGCGGGGACTCTCCTAGGGGTGGGGGCCTCCAGGTTGGCTTCCCGGGCCCCATTTCCTGCCACCCCCATTTCCCCTAAGCTCTCCATCCCTCCTTGCAGACCCACCATGGTCCCCAATGGGGCCAAAGGGCCAGAAAGCAAAGGAGGTTTTGCCTGCAAGCGTCTGTTTCCGCTGCTTGTTTGGACAGGGGCCGCACCTCGAGCACTTCTGAGACCCAAGGTCCCCCAGAGCCCCAGGGCTTTCCTTCTGCACACCCCACTCACTCGGATGAGGCCCCTGAAACTTGGGGGGCTGGGAAGCTGGGGTCTTGGTCCAGGCTGCCCTGCGTGGCGAGGCCCCAGGCCTGCTGAGTCACACACCCATGGACACCTGTGGGCCCCGGCAGCCTCTGCCCAGCTTGCCCCTTGTCCATCCTCTGACCCCGTCTGCAGGGCACTGAGCATCCGGTCCCTTTCCCAGGCTCACAACAGGGATGCGGGGAGGGGCCTGAGAGGGTACATCCTCTTTAAAGGGCTGCTTGGGGCAGGGTGCACCTACTCTGGAGCCCCCTGGGAAGGACCAGCCACACCTGCGGACAGGTCCCTGCTGTGTTCCCATAAGCAGATGGCCTTCACAGCTGAGAGCCAAGTCCACCCACCCAAGTCCACCTTCCCTTCTGGCTCTCCCATCGCACAAACCCCACCACCAGAGGACATGACTCCTACTCAGCAGGTCTGCCTTCTACTCTCAGGACCCCGCCTGGGACACCACATAGGACGACATACCCTTCCCGCCCACCTCCTTTCAAGACCCCACTTCCTCCAGGCCTTGTGAACAGGTGGGTCTTTGTCACATAAAGCCGTGTTTCTTGGTTACTAGCCGGAGGGCTGCTGGTCTGACCCCTGGGTTGCCCCTGAGGCCAACAGGCCTTACACCACTCAGGCCCTTTGGGCACCACCTGCGGAACCGAACTCTGTGCTGACAGGTGTGGGTCCGGCTGCTCATGCCGAGCACGTGACGACCACTAAGGCTCCCGGAAGCAGCCGCTGGCCCTCTGGCCAGGTGAGGGGGAGGGGACCCCGTGCTCCTCTGGCATCTCTCAGCCTTACCCCCTATCCCACTGGGAGCTCCTCTGGGGCTCAGGCCTGATGGGGAGTATGCCCCTCAACCCAGTAAGGGGCCGTCATGGAGGATGCTGCGGGCGCTGGAGCGGGCTGCCACCTGGGATGGGAGGCTGTGGAGAGTGGCAGGGCCCGGACAGGACCTCGGGAGCCAGTTAGCTCTGGCCTGGGGCTTCGGGCCACAGTGGACCCCCCCCCCCCGCTGCGCTGTGCCACCCCCCCCCCCCCCCCCCCCCGCGGCCTCCGTTGTGCTTTGCTGAGTCACCGCCAGGCCCAGGCCTGGGAGGGTTCTGGGCGGGGGGGGGGGGGGGGGGAAACCCCTGTGCGTGCTTTCCCCGCGGGTGAGGAGGCCGGAGGCCAGCCCTAGATGTCGGGAGTTCCGGGCCGGCCTCTTGGGGTCCCGGCGGCACTGAAGACAGTGAGGAGAGGGATCGGCGATAAGGGGGTGCGGGACACCGTGAAGGGATAGCGGGGGTGGGGGGGAGATGCAGGGGAGGCGGCAGCGGGCTCGGGGCCGCGGCAGGGCGGCTCGCGCGGGGCAGCGCGGCGGGGCGGGGCGCGGAGACCCCGCCCCCAGGAGACCGGAGGGGGCGGGACTTCCCGCGTTCTTTACAAAAGCCGCGCGCCCGCCGCCGTCCGGCTCCTGCTCGCCAACCGGTAGAGATGGCGTCGCTCACCGTGAAGGCCTATCTTCTGGGCAAGGAGGACGCGGCCCGCGAGATCCGCCGCTTCAGCTTCTGCTTCAGCCCCGAGGCGGAGGCGGAGGCCGAGGCGGAGGCCGCGGCTGGGCCCGGGCCATGCGAGCGGCTGCTGAGCCGGGTGGCCGCCCTGTTCCCGGTGCTGCGGCCTGGGGGCTTCCAGACGTACTACCGCGGTGAGCGGGCCCGGCGCCCTTGGGGGGCTGCGCGGGGCCGTGACGCAGGCTTGCCCGGCGGGGCGGCTGCTCGTCCGGCCTGGGAGCGCCCGCGGGGGCCGGCTCCAGCCGCTCTCGGGGGAAGGGGCGGCGGCGTCGGCTCGGGCGCTGCCGGCGGGTGTCGGGCCCGGGGACCCGGGGGTGCAGGGCGCCGGCCCTCCCCCCGCGCCGTGACGTCGCAGGTCTTGGCCCGGCGCGCGCTGGGGCGTCCTCGCTGGCCGGCGGCGGGCGCTCGAGTTACGCCGACAGCTCGCTGCTTACGAGTCGGGGCTGGCGAGGGCCCCGGAAGCGCCGGCCGGACGCGGAGGAAGGGCTGGCCGGGGAGAGCGGGGAGGCGGGCCAAACAGCGCGGCGCGGCCTGGCGGGCGAGCCCGGGGCAGCGGCGGCGGGGAGGAGCGGTCGCGAGCGGCCCCGGAGCGCCCGAGGCCGGCCTGAGTGCGCACGTTCCCCCGCCGGCAGTGGACAGAGGGACCCAGTCGGGACGTTCTGCAGCAGCGTCGGCGGAGGGACGGGAGCCCAGGATTGCGCCCCGTTTCTTGCTGCGCTGGTGTGGCGGGTGGGGTGGGGGGAGCCGGTCGGGGCACGGAAGCGGGGCGCGGGGGGGTGGGGGGAAGCCAAGGCCGGCCCCTGGGAGGGGCAGTGCCGGGCCCACCCTTAGGAGCACTGCCAACTGGCCAGACCCGTTCCTGGTTGGTTTGTTTTTGTGACAAGTTTATGGAGCTATCATCCACTTCCCGTACAGTTCACCCATTTCACGTGAACAGTTTTGAGCGACTTGTGCAACCATCCTCCTCACAGTTTTAGAACCTTTGCATCACCTGCGAAGGGAACTCTACGGTTGAGCTCTCTCCTCATCCCCTTCAGCTCTAAGCAACCGCTAATCTCTTTCTCAAAGGATTTCCTTATTCTGGACGTTTCCTATAAACATAGACACGGAACCCTACACTTTTCTATTCTTTTGTAACCGGCTTCTTGTACTTGGCATAACATTTTCAAGGTTTAGCTGTGTTGTAGCTTGTGTCCGGACTTCCTGCCTTTTTGTGGCTGAATAACATTCCATTTTGGGACATACCCCGTTTTGTTTTTCCACTCCTTAGTGGATGGGTGGGTTATCACCTTTTGACGCTGCCCCTGTTTTATGGTGGATGTTGCCTCCAGTGGCCCACAGAGCTGGCCCAGCCTGCAGGTGTAGGGGGTGGTTTGGCCTGCACGGTGGGACTTTAACACCATTTGCTAAATCTAAAAATCAGAGAGTACATACAAATACTGTAGCTTCATTGGGGGCGGAAGCAGGCAGATGTACTCATCTCCTTGACTCTCCTAAACCACAGGAGACCCACGGCTTTTGGAGGGGCTGGGCCCCCAGGAGCCGGTCACAGGTGGGGATCTCCTACCGTTGAAGTTGGGTCTCGGCATGGTCAGATGTGGACCGAGGCAGCACCTGCTTAAGGGGCAGCGGGCTCAGCTACCGCAGCCGCGCCTGCGCACGGGCACGCTGTCTCCCGTGGGCGCCCGGGTCCCACGTTGGAGTGCTTACCTTCCAGGCAGTGTTACAGTGAGTGGGCAGTCTGGCCTCAGCCCCGCTGCCCCCTGGCTCACACAGGTGTGCGTCAGTTCCTAGGCGAGCAGACGTCCCTCTAGCTTGGCCTCTGCCCTTCTCGGCAGCTTGTATCTGACTGAGAAGCCTCGGGTACTCACGTGCGGTCTTGTAAACAACCTAGATGAGGACGGAGACTTGGTGGCCTTTTCCAGTGATGAGGAACTGACCATGGCAATGTCCTACGTGAAGGATGACCTCTTCCGTATTTATATCAAAGGTAAAGGTCTGTTCTGGGCGCCGTCCGAAGCCGGGTGCCTCTTGCTGGGTAAAACCTGCTTGAGGTTATTGAGCAGTCCCCTCCGAGGAGCGGGCAAGAGCCTGTGGGTTGTTTAAGACCGAGACTTCATCATCTCTGTGCTGGGCCTGAGAGAGGAGTCCCGAAGGGGTGGGGTCTGGGGGACCTCTGGGTTCACTCTGCTGAGGGCTGGGGGCGGCTTTGGCGATGCAGTGGGGTTTATTTTAATGGGGGGCCCAGCTATGCAGACACAGCTCCCTGCCGCTTCTCACTTGCCTGGGCCCCATGTACTGTACCAGGCACAGGGACTGGGACCCTCCTGGCAGCTTCTTGGGTCCCCTTGTTGCTGTCACTTGAACAGCTGGGTTGTGCACGGTCTGGAGGGCAGGGCCAGGGGCCTGCTGACTGAAAGGCCCCCAGTCGTGATGAGCGGTTCCTGTCGGGTCGCACCTCATGGCTATCTGTGCTTCCTGCAGAGAAGAAGGAGTGTCGGCGGGACCACCGCCCCCCGTGTGCTCAGGAGGTGCCCCGCGGCCTGGTGTACCCCAGCGTGATCTGTGACGGGTGCAATGGGCCCGTGGTGGGGACCCGCTACAAGTGCAGCGTCTGCCCGGACTATGACCTGTGCTCCGCCTGTGAGGGGAAGGGCCTGCACCGCGAGCACAGCAAGCTCGTCTTTCCCGGTCCCTTCGGGCCCCTTGCCGAGGTCAGGCTGGGGGGCGGGGCATGGCGTGGGCAGGGGTCGGGGAGGAAGGAGCCCCCTGCTCTGGTGTCACCCGGCCCCTCTGCTCGCTCCCCCCCCTCAGGGCGTCGCTCACAGCCGCTGGCTCCGGAAGCTGAAACACGGGCACTTCATGTGGCCCGGCTGGGAGATGGGCCCCCCGGGGAACTGGAGCCCGCGTCCTCCCCGCGCAGGGGACGCCCGCCCCAGCTCTGCGGCCGAAGCAGGTGAGGGTGCTTCACAGCCAGTAGGGGTGCTTAGTCCTCACAAAACCCTGCAAAGTGGGGAGCATCGTCTTCATGCCACACACAGCATGGAGGCACCTGTGCCCAGGGCTGCTAACTTGCCCACATGAAACTGAGGCTTGGCCCGGATGTGGCTCAGCCTGAAACCTCCCTCCCCTGTCGAGGCTTTTTTTTTTTTTTTTTCTTTTTTAAAAATGTGCTCTATACCCGATGTGGGGCTTGAACTCACGACCCTGAGCTCAAGAGTTGCATGCTGTAATGACTGAGCCAGCCGTCCTGCTCAAGTATTTTGAAACACAGGCACAAAGTTAAAAACAGACGGCTTGTGTTCCAGAATTTAGGATTCTGGTTGTAGTCTGATTTTATTAACTTACTGTCCTCCGATTTACCTCCTCCTTTGGAATGAAGGTGGGGATGTTGGTTTGATTCTGCTGTGGTTTGAGCTAGAACATGGTCAGCATTGTACACTGCACGTGGCGAATCCCCCACGGGCTTCTGAGCACCAGGGGCACACAGGGGCCTGCAGCGGGAGAGAGTTGGGGAAGCCTGCTGGGACAGGACCCCTGGGGGTGGAGGGCACCTGAGGGGAAGGTGATAGGATCGTAACAGGTGTCGAAGTCATTGAGAAACCTGCTTTGAATCGAACATTTTTTTTGTTTTTTGGAAAACCAAAGCTGCTGGTCCGTCGGAGGATCCCAGTGTGAATTTCCTCAAGAATGTAGGGGAGAGTGTGGCGGCCGCCCTGAGCCCTCTGGGTAAGTGGCAGCCTCTGTCCTTCAAGAGCAGGAGCGTGTCGATCACTCGGTGAGGGGGTGGCTGGTGGGCGGCTTGCCCCCCCCCCGGGGTCGCCGTGGAGGAATGGTGACTGCCGTGCCCTTGGGGCCGGCCTTTGCCATGCGCTGCACCGCAGGCCACTGAAAGTTAAGTTCCTTGACACGTTCTGGAGCTTTCCCCATGGAGTGAAGTGGAATCAGCGAGTGTTTGGTTGGGATAAGCCCAGTAGCCTCTGCTGCAGGGCTGGCCTGTTGGCTTCTGACTCTTCTTTCCACAAAGAAAGAAGAGTCAGAAGCTTTCCCCCCCAAATGTGAGCCCTGGGGTTTACTCAAGGACTCGGGGGAGTAAGCTGAGAGGCCATTTCTCTTTTCTTCCCTTCCGTTTTTTTGCAACCCCAACCTTTCTGGGGGGGCTTCCTGAGTGCCCGGCTTGTGCCCGCGCTGGGGAGCCGGGTGTGATGGAGGGTTTCCAGTAGCCTCGGGTCAGATGTGAGGTCACTGGATGGGTGGGTGAACCGCAGCGGGTAACCCCCTCGTGGTGGGACTGGCCCAAGGCTTTAGAAGGCGTCTGCCATATCCGCTGGCCCTGACGCGGACTGTGGGAGTCTTCTACGACTGTGACTTCTGGTTCAAGGGTACAGTGGATCCGTAATCTCTGACTGGAAGCGTGTTCCGCTTTGTGACTTCAGTGGCAGCAAGTGTCCACTGTCTGAACGGCTGCAGATGGGACGGGAGGGCAGGCCCGCCCTCGGCCCCAGCTTGAGACCATTTCGGCTCCATCAGGCCAGGACGCAGCTCAGCAGGGACCCATGAAACCCCTCAGACTGCGTACCGTGGAGTTTTGTGCTGGAGTTAAAGGCCTTTGAGAGAAAGAGAAAAGAACGGGTGTTCTTAATTCCTTCTAGGAGGATAAAAGTGGAGCAGTGATCAGGTTATAAGCAGGAGATAAGCTAGTGCTACACCCTAGCTGGCGCACAAGACGCGGTGATGAGAGTTGTGCTTTGGGGGCAACGGGAAGCTGCTCTTTGGAAGCTAGTAGTGGATCGTGGTTTTCAAGGCTGGCTGAGCCTCAGAATCACCAACACAGGTTGTTTTTGGTATAAATTTTGGCGTATGGAGATTTCACTAAAACTGTTCTGAAGAACAAAGTCCTTCGCTAAAAGAATGACCCAGACAAGCTGGGAAGTCCTGAACCCCAGTCTGGGTTCAGGTAGGGAAGCTTGGAACCATGCAGAGTCCCAGGTCCACCTCCTGGATTCTGGTAAATTGGTCATGGGGTCGGGCCTGGGATCCGTGTGTTTTGAAGGCTTGCCAGGGACTCTGGGTCCCACTTGCTGTCCATCCTGAGGCCCATCTGAGCCCGGTGGCCTGTTTCAGAACTTGACCCGGATTCCCCACTCAGGGCAGAGGGGGGTAATTTTGGCAGCACTCAGAGGAGTTGTAGGCTAAGGGTGAAGGCCTTTTCAGGTTTTTCAAAGTGGAGAGAGTTGCTGTGTACCAACTAGGGAGGAGCCTAGAACTCTCCAAAACAACAAGGAAAGTTTCAGTAAGTATGCCTCTGAAGTAGTTTCAGTTGAGAGCCACTTGAGGAATTGATTAAACTCTAGAGTTACGGGTATTTTCCTTTCTTATGAGGAACTGACAGGTAGGATGACTCATGCTAACGGCCTAGAAGGGACTGTTCCCAGAGCAGGGGCCCGGAGGGACAGCCAGTAATGCTTCCCAGAGGGCAGACCATGTGCAATGACTCAGCAATTCTAAAGCAAAGACCTTGTTTGGTAGGTGCCATGAGGACCAGCTGAGCGGGTCTGCCGCCTGTCTGAGTTTGCAGTCACTGACGTCTACGGCCCCAAACCGCAGGTCCTTTCCTTGTCTCAGGGTTGTCAGAAGACACTCCCCCTCACAGGCTCCGGGGGAAGCAGGGCACGGCCAGTGGTACAGTCTGTAAGCCCTTAGGTGTCTCAGGTTATCATCCGTTGGAGAAACTTGGGATTCTAGAATCTCTCTGGTTCACTTACAGAAGTCCTGTCACTTGCCCACATAGCAAAGTGAGACAGTATATGGGTGTTCATTGGATGGTCTTCCACCTTTTCTGTGTGCTCAAACCTTTTTTTTAAAGATTTATTTATTTAGAGAGAGAACACGGAGGGGCAGAGGGAGGGAGAGCATCTCAAGCAGACTCCCCACTGAGCACGGAGCCCGATATGGGGCTTGATCTCACAACCCTGACATCATGACCTGAGTTGAAACCAAGAGTCTGAAGCTCAACTGAGTGAGCCACCCAGGCGCCCCTGCTTGAACCTTTCATGATGAAAAGTTGGAGAGAGGATAGGAGATAAAGGACTTAAATGTTGCAGATGGGCGTACTGGTGGCTAAGCCCGCTTTTATGTGTTTGCTCCTCACACTCTACCAGAGTAACAGTAAAGGGATTAAACACAAGAGTATAAAGCAACGTGGACAAAGCAAAAGGGGGAAAAAGGTCCTAGAGGACAAGGTAAGAAAACCTCACACTTTGAATGGTGGGAAATGGAGTTGAGGGTGGTGACCAGCACCGTGGAGGCATCAGAAGCCACATGCCTGCCTGCACGGGGGCCCTGGTGGAGGCCAGAGGGCAGGTCAGGAAAGGCCAGGGGACGGGATGGTTGAAGACCACTCTTCAGGATCATGTAGAGATCATGGCTGCTCAGCCAGATGCTCGTCCTTAACCACGCACGCACGAGACCTGATGGTTAGTTGCTGGAGCATTTGACCCAGGGAAGCCTCGGCCCTAGGGACCCAGGGCAGGGTGAGGCACCAGCCTGAAATGGGGCACCATGAGTGGGCAGTGGGTCTGGCAGGGGCTGGGGCGCGCCTGTTCGGGAGAGGCCGGACGTGCCAGAGCCGGGTCCCACAGCTTTGCCACCTGGGATCCCACCGCCTGGCCAGACACCCACTGGGTCACCCTGCAGAGGGAGACAGATGGGGGCCCCGGCCCCTCAGAGGGCTTCCTGGCCGCCTCTTCCTAGTGCCTCGCTAGGCTCAGAAGGCCACGATCCCCAGCCATTGGGAACATCTCCACGAGGACAAGAAGGAACTTGGGGCAGGACTTTACAGGACAGAGAATGTCAGCGTCCTCTGTGAGGTACAGAAAAGTTTTCCATCCTTGAAAAAAAGAACAGGATACTCTAAAAATGATAAAACAGATTAAGATCAGAACAGACTGTTTTTTTAGAAATTAAGAAAACTAGCCAGAATAAAGAAAACTTCAAAAGAAGGCTTAGATTTTAAGGTCATTTCAAGGAAATATTCCAAAAACAAAAGAGGCGAGACAAGAGAAAAGGCGAGGAGGTTTGAGGATTAATCCTGGAGGCCCAGGGCAGGACAGATATTAGGGGTTCCAGGAAAAGAACAGACAAAACTGAAGGAAGGAAATGAACAGAGAATGTAAGACCATCTCGGCACAGAGGACATTAACCTCTCGATTGAAAGGGACTCCAAGTGCCTTGGACAGTGACCAAAAAAGATGGCACCCCGGAACTCATTGTCCTCTCCCGGAACCCTTTGGAGAAGGGGAGGCTCTGGAAATGCTCCAGGTTTTTTTTCTTTTTGTTTTTTTTTTTTAAAGATTTTATTTATTTATTCATGAGACTCAGAGGGGGAGAGAGAGAGAGAGAGAGAGAAGCAGAGGGAGAAGCAGGCTCCCAAGGAGCAGGGAGCCGGATGCGGGGCTCGATCCCAGGACCCCGGGATCATGACCTGAGCCGAAGGCAGACGCTTAACCATCTGAGCCGCCCAGGCGCCCTGGAAATGTTCCAGGTTACTGTAAGAGCTCGAGAATTCCAAGGGCCAGCACTGGAAGACTGTGGATCAACCAGTGACTTCCAAAGTCTGAGCTGAACTGGTTTCTCAACCTAGAGCGCTATTCCCAGGTGAAATGGTCATGTCTGAGGGCAGAACAAAGCTATATATAGTGGCGTTCACCTAAGTAGTGCACGTTTTCACTGAAAAGTTTTTGAAAGGACAGGGGAAGGGGAGGTAAGTGTTGATCTAGAAGAAGCAGCAGTGCACTTGAGCCGTGGAGAAAAGGCAGCGTGGGTTGAAAGCCGTCTGTGGGGAGTGGGTGGGCTGTGTGGTGGGGGCCAGGAATCTTCGCTGGAGCCTTCTGGAACGGTTGGACTCTAAGCTGTGGGCATGTTGTCCTCTGATAAATTAATTAGAAACAGCACCAGGGACTCTGCCCTCTGTCCTCTCAGTGGGCACGTGAGCCCGTGTGAGGGACCACGGGCGACACGCTGGCCAGGGCTTCGAGCCTCGTGGGCCTCCCACAAAGCCAAGCAGGATTCTCGTGTCTCCCATCACTGCCCACCCCGTCCCCCCCCGCCTCCCCCCAACTAGTGTGAGGCTTTGTGCGGTCCTGGGCGCTGTGGCCGGGGCTCTGGCCGCTCTGGTGTGTGGCTCCCTGTTCCTAGCCTGCTGCCCACATAGGGCAAAACGGGGGCTCTTGATGGGCTTTCTGGCTCCAGAGCTGACCCGGGATGTTCACTGAGATTAGGGCTTCATTAAGTTGGAAGAGGCAGGGCCAGTGAGGTGCACAAGTCAGCAGACATTTTCTAGGAGCCAAAGTTTGGGGCCAGGGTATGGGGAGCAGTGAGCCCTTGGGATCCTGAAGGTCAGAGGTGAGTGGCCATCTGCCTTGTGGCTGGTGGGCTGGCCTCATGCCCTGGTCCCGCACCGGCTGTGCGACTCGGGTCTGTCGTGACCCCCGCCACTACGCTGGGTCCCGCCCCCACTACCCTGCGCTCCGCCCCGCCCCCCACACCGTGTCCCAGGCCAGGAGGGTCCCCGGAGGGCTCACAGGTGTTTGCTTCTTCCTCGGTCGCTGCAGGCATCGAGGTGGATATTGACGTGGAACACGGTGGGAAGAGGAGCCGCCTCGCCCCCATCTCTCCAGGCAGCTCCAACACCGAGGAGAAGTGCGGCTCCCAGCCGAGCAGCTGCTCTTCGGACCCCAGCAAGCCAGACGCGGACCCGGAAGGCACAGCACGGTCTCTGGCGGAGCAGATGGACAAGGTGGCCCTGGAGTCGGTGCCGCCCGAGGCAAGTGCCCCGCCCCAGACAGGACACAGCCCAGCAGACTGCCCTCCCGGTTCGGGGGCTTTGCGAACCCGCTGCTGGAACGTTCCTCGCTGCTCGCAGGAGTGCCGGCGGGGGCAGCTGGGGGCAGCTGTGCTCACAGGGGCTTCTGTTGCAGGAGCAGATGGAGTCGGATAACTGCTCGGGGGCAGACGAAGACTGGACTCACTTGTCTTCCAAAGAAGTGGACCCGTCTACGGGGGAGCTCCAGTCTCTACAGATGCCCGAATCCGAAGGGCCGGGCTCTCTCGACTCTTCTCAGGAAGGGCCCACAGGACTGAAGGAAGCTGCATTGTACCCCCATCTGCCACCAGGTGAGTGATTCACGCAGTTCTGTGTTTCTACCTTTTTCCCTCAGAACATCCCCTCCCCTCCTTTCAGCAGCCAGGACCCCGAATCCCGAGGGCAGTGCGATTGAGAGGCCACCACCCGAGGAAAGTGTCGACCTCTGAGTGGAGGTCACGGCCAGGGTCCCTGTGGGAGCCAGGCAGGAATCCACCACGTGGAGCCGTGGCGTGTGTGGGGCAGGAAGGCCAGTGGGGACTGTGGCAGCCCAAGCACAGCTGAGTGGCAGGGGTGGCTGAGGCCTCGCTCTGGCTTGTCACCGTCACAACAGTGTGGAAGCAGCGATACCGGGAAAGCCCCCCGTGGGCCACATTTGGCCCTTTGGGCTACTGGTCTTGATCTCTGCTTCAGAGCAGGGGCAGCAAGCTGTCACTTAAAGGCCAAGAGTGTTTTTTTTTTTTTTTTTAAAGATTTTATTTGAGAGGGGGAGCGGCAGAGGGAGAGAGGGAGGCAGGCTTCCCGCCGAGCAGGGGGCCTGAGGCGGGGCTCGATCCCAGGACCCTGGGATCATGACCTGAGCTGAAGGCAGGCGCTTCACCAAGCCACCCAGGCGCCCCTGAGTCTTTCATTTTGATAATGGTTGGGAAAAGGTCAAGATGTGAAAATCAGATGAAGGTCAGATGTTGGTGTCCAGGGTAAGACGTTGTAGCGGAGCCCGGCTGCGCCCCGTTGCTTACAGGCTCTCCGCGGTGTTCTGTTGTAATGGCAGAAGCGAGTTAGGAGACCGTACAGCCTTGCAGAGCCGCTCAGAATCCTCACCCTCTGGCCTTTTCCGGGGAGAGCCTGTCCCGGTTCTGCCTGGGAGGGTCACTGCGCTGGGCAGAGGGCCTGTGGAAGGGCTGCCCCCCCCCCCCACCCCGCCTCACGACTCTCCTCCTCCCTCCGGCAGAAGCTGACCCCCGGCTCATTGAGTCCCTCTCCCACATGCTGTCCATGGGCTTCTCTGACGAAGGCGGCTGGCTCACCAGGCTCCTGCAGACCAAGAACTACGACATCGGGGCGGCGCTGGACACCATCCAGTATTCGAAGCACCCGTTGTGATGGCTTCTGCCCCCTTGTCCCATCCCCTTCTTGTCCCCTAGTTGTGTTGAGCTAGTGTAGAACAGCAGGGCCCCTCTAAGGGCCAGTTTCTCTGCATTCTTCTTCCAGAATGGGGGGGGGCGGGGATGCACCAAGCCACCCAGGGCAGTGGAACAAGTGACAGGAGGGGGGGTCCCCCGTATGTGGCTGCCCCCGTATGTGGCTGCCCCCTGTATGTGGCTGCCCATGTCAGAGAAGCATCTGCTGGCTTCCAGGGGTGGACGCGGGGCCCAGTGGTGGTCTCCTCCTGCCCTCCCCCCACCAGGATCACACCAGCAGTCCAGAATGTCATGCCTAATGGCCTTGTTTTTTTTTTTTTTTTTAAATGACTAATAGTAGGCTGACATGTAGTTGATTTTCTGCTAGAAAACCGATCAGCTCCAAGTTTAGAGTGAGTACAGCTGACATCCTGCTGGGTGGGAGAGGAGCGAGGACAGGGCAGTCCGGGACTGGGCTTCTTGAATCTGCAAAGGAGGAGGGGCTGAGAGGGGAGGGAGGCCAGAGCTCACAGAATACTGCCTGTTCCATAACCACTCTAGTTCCCTCATTTCCAGACGCGTCTGTTGCTTTTACAGTAAGAAAACCCCATTGTAACCATTCTGTTGCTATTTTGCAATCAGTAATTAAATGGTATAAGCACTTTAATCAAAGATGTTATAACCACAGATGACCTGGTAGTTGTGTTTGTCCTTCTTGACAGTTTGCATAAATCATCCCCGGTCCTTTTTTTTTTTTTTTTAAAGATTTTATTTGAGAGAGAGAGACTGCGGGAGCAAGGACCAGCAAGGGGGGGGGGGGGGGGGGGAGAGCCAAACACCCCCCCCCCCCCCCCCGCCCCGCTGAGCAAGAAGCCTGATGCGGGGTTTGATCCCAGGACCCTAAGATCATGACCTAAGCCAAAGGCAGACACTTCACCGACTGAGCCTCCCAGGTGCCCCCCCACCCTAGTCCTATTTAAAAGCTAATTGGGGAGTCCCCTTTACAGTGGCCAAGAGGTCCAGGGGAGAAGGGTTCACGTAACGTGTGTCCGTGTTGGTAACCGAGTTTCAGTTCACAGGTCGTCTTCAAAGTCCTCACCAGTTTCAAAGAGGTTACACAGTCGCACGAGTGGGGGCTCTTGTAACCTTGTGACCACGGTCCTACCCTTTGCCAGAGGACCAGTGTCCTGTGGCTGTCCGGGGGGCTTTCCGCAGGGCCTCTGGGACCCCGATGTGAGAGTGTGTGTGGGCCAGGGAAGCTTGGGTGCACTGAGGGGCCTGCTGGGGTGCCCTTCCCTTGGGGTCCCCTGCTCAGCCAGTGCTGCCCCGGCTGGCTTGGGGTCTCTGTACAGAGGTACTGGGGGCTCTGTGTCCACACATGGGCCATTTCCAGGCAGCAGAAGGAAGCGGTCCCACTTGGATGACGTGGCTCTTAGCTGTGGGGCCGGACATGGAGGACCCCCCTGAGGAACAGAAAGCTCCCCGGTGCCCCCATCCTTGTGGCTGCCACCTTCTGTGACCTTCCCGGCCAGGCCAACATGGTCCTGCAATGGAAGCGAGAGAAGAGAACTGTGTCCTGGCAGGACCAAGGGATGGCAGGGAAGGTCCCCCTGCCCACCCTGCTGCTGCCCCCTCTCCACCTCGGAGCTCCCACACTTCTCGCTCTCTGTTCCACCTACTGCCCTGCTCTCAGGCTGGCAGACTAGGGACCTGCTTTCATCTGGTTTTATTCAACACGGTACTAGAAGTCTATCACAGCAATCAGACAAGGAAAAGAAATAAAAGGCATCCAAATTGGTAAGGAAGAAGTAAAACTGTCCCTATTTACAGCTGACATGATACTTTACATAGAAAACCCTAAAGACTCTACCTAAAAACTATTAGAAATGATAAATTCAGTAAAGTTACAAAATGAATATATAGAAATCTGTTGTGTTTCTATGCACTAATAATAAGAGCAAAAACAAAAAAAAAAACCACCCCAAAACCAGAAAGGGACGCCTGGGTAGCTCAGTTGTTAGGCCATCTGCCTTTGGCTCAGGTCATGATCCCGGGGTCCTGGGATCGAGCCCAGTGTCAGGATCCCTGCTCAGCAGGGAGTCTACTACTTCCTCTCCCCACCCTTGCTTGTGCTCTCTCTTGCCTCTCTCAAATAAAATCTTTTTTTTTTTTAAATAATAAAATACATAGGAATAAATGTAACCAAGGAGGTGAGAGGCCTATACTCTGAAAACTGTAAGACACTGATGAAAGAAACTGAGAGGACACAAACAAATGGAAAGATAAACCATGCTCATGGATTGGAAGGATCAATACTGTTAAAATGTCTATACTACCCTAAGCAATCTATGAAATTCAATGCAATCCACATGAAAATACCAATAGAATTTTGCACAGAACTAGAACAAATAATCCTTGAATTTTAATGGAATCCAAAAGACCCTCAATCGCAAAAGCAAATTTGCGAAAGAAAAAACCTGGAGGTATAATCCCAGATTTCAAGATATACTACAAAGGTATTGTAATCAAAACAGTATGGTACTGGCACAAAAACAGACACCTAGATCAATGGAACGTAACAGAAAGTTCAGAATTAAACCCATGATTATATGGCCAGGTAATCAAGGACAACGGAAGCAAGAACATAAAATGGGGAAAAGACAGTCTCTCCAATGAAAGGTGGTGAGGAAACTGGACCATTTTCTTAGACTATAAAAAAAAAATGGATTAGAGACCTAAATGTGAGAACTGAAACCATAAAACTCCTAAGAAAAAACATAGCCAGTAAGCTGTTCGACACTGGCCTTGGCAACGTATTTATGGTTATGTCTCCTCAGGCAAGGGAAACAAAAGCAAAAATAAAATACTGGGAGTACATAAAAATAAAAAGCTTTTGCACAGTGAAGGAAGCCATTAGCAAAATGAAAAGGCAACATACTGAATGGAAAAACATATTTACAAATGATGTATCTGAAGGTGGTTAATATCCTTAATATTTAAAGAACTTACAATACAACTCAACACCAAAAACCCAAATAACCCAATCAAAACACAGGCAGAGGACCCAAATAGACATTTTTCCAAAGAAGACATACCAATGGCTAACAGACACATGAAAAGAGGCTCAACATCACTCAGCATCAGGGAAATACACATCAAAACCACAATGGGCTATCACCTCACACCTGTCAGAATGGGTAGTATCAAAAAGATAAGAAATAACAAGTACTGGGGAAGATGTGGAGAAAAGGGAACTCTTGTGCACTGTTGGTGGGAATGTGAACTGGTGCAGCCATTGTGGAAAACTGTATGGAATTTCTTCAAAAAATTAAAAATAGAAAAACCATATGATCCAGTAATTTCGTTACTGGCTGTTTACCCAAGGAAAGCAAAAACACTAGTTTGAAACGATCTATGCATATTTGCTGCAGCATTATTTACAATAGCCAATATATGGAAGCAGCCCAGATGTCCACTGATGGGTGAATGGAAAAAGAAGATGGGGTCTATATCTACATAATGGAATATTACTCAGGCATAAAAAAGGAACTCATAAATACAGAGAACTGCGGGTTGTCCTTGGGAAGGGTACAAGGGGATGGGCAAAATAGATGAAAGGGATTAAGAGGTACAAAGTCCAAAGACATGAAAAATATAGTGTAGGAAATATAGTCAATAATATTATAATGTATGCTGACGGACAAGGACTATCATGTGTGAGCACTGATTCACGTACTGAATTGCCAAATCACTATGTCGTACACCTAAAACCTAATATACCATCGTATGTCAACCATACTTCAATAATAAAAAAAACAAGAGCAGACCCTAGGTGAAGACAGTGCCTTGGTGTGAAAGGACACACCCGGGTAAGTGAAGGTGAAGCTGCGAACAGTTCCTCAGAAGTCTGGGGCAGGTCCCATGTTGGACAGTCTGACAAAGACCTGCCACGCCACGTCAAGGGAGGAGAATGGTGCTGACTCAGAAAAGCCCTACTGGTCAACCTTGGTTGATTCCAAGGCATCAAGCTGTCCTTTTGCCCGGGAGCTCACATCACTGAGATTGAGCATGGCAGGGAAATGGTCAGGCCAGAGAAAGGAGTGGGCTTGTCAGAGCAGACAAAACACTCAGGTAGTAAACAGTACTGTGTGTGTTTCATGGTTACCGGGACCAGAAGAGAAACACTTCAATCACTCAATCACTGACCTTCTGGGGCTCCAATGTAACCTCAGAATCACCTAGGTTCTGGACATCGGGGCTGTGTGGAGGCCAGACTGTGCTCTGGCTGCATTTCCTGGTGGAGAGAAAGCACTGTCAAGAATCCAGTCCCATCACCACACTGGCAGTCACCCCAGCACAGGTAGGGACCTTGTCCTCCCATACAGCTTCCCACCCAGGTGGCCACTCAGCTTCTGCTCCACTGCCGCAGGCTGCCCGACAACATCCAAGGCAGGCTGCTTCTCTGCCCCAAGCTCGTAGTTGCTAGAAAGCTCTTATTTTGAATTGGAATCTACCGCCCAATGTCACTTGCCCTGTAGGGGCCACCCTGGATCTAGAGAAGGTAATGTCTCAGAAGACTCTCTAAAATGCAGAGTAAGTCTAGAGAAGAGACCTACAAAAGGTCAGGTCTTCGCGGCTGCAGGCAACAAGTTCCCAGAACCGCCAGCTACTCCGGCCACACTTCACTTTGTGTGCAGTCACAAGGTGCCCGTGCTGGCATCCCACTCAACCCTGACTGCTGCATGACAGCACCTGGCACCCGGCAAGGCCAAGGAGGGCTTGGTGGTGCGGGTACCTGCCGGCCAGCGCCGCCCAAGCTGCTCCCGCGCTGCTGAGCACGAGAGGGTGCTTGTTGCTCCCCCCTGGCCGGGAGGCACCGTGCAGGTGGGGCAATGGCTGCATTGGTGACTGGCTCCGCACCTTTTTCTAGGCAGACCTGTGTTGAAGGGAGGCTCTGGCTTCTCTGTCCTGGACAAGGGCAGTCTCTCGAAACACACTCCTCTTTCTATCCCCAGCTCTTTTGAGTCTCTTTCCAGATACTTCAGCCAGCGGTTCTCTGAGGACTGAGGTTTTTCCTACAGGATTGGGAAGTAAGTTTATTCTCAGACCCACATCCGCCCTGGTACCAGGAAAGGCATTTTGCCGGGTGGAGGGGGGACTGGGGAGACGGATGTCCTGAGGCACCACTGGGGACCGTGAACACTGGCACAGAGCTGGGGAAAGCTGCTGGACACAACTCATCAAGGAACTTTCCAAATGTCCACGCTCCCTGACCTAGGGGTTCCAAAGGAAGGCAAAGGCACAAAGATGCTCAACAAAGTGAGGTAAGTCATAGCGAATACTCCCTGTAGCAAAAATCTGGAACTAATCTACGTGCCCAATCATCATGGGATAAATATTGGGACCACCACTATATTCTGTAGATACGGGCATCACTGCAAACTCTACAGCAATGCAAGAACGGCATGAGTGAAAACTCTGGGGTGCAAACCGGGACTTGTCATAATCGTGATGATGTAATATGGAGTCCCTCAGTGGACAAAATTGAACGTAGAGTGCCAACCATGTGAGAGCTGCTGTGTAAAGTGGTGTATGAGCAATGCTCCCATTTACAACACAAATATGAGGAGCCGGGAAAGGGAGGACACTGCCAACGCGCTTCTATGAGCAGAGGCGGGCTCTGTCCTCAGCTGGGCGGGGAGCCTCAGACAGCTGCTTGCACTCCCCCAGCCCTGGCAGGACACAGTGTACCACGTACCCACGGCACCTTGGACATACCCACGGTGTTACCTCAAGTTCCGACACACACCACCCTCCCAACATGGTCTGAGCACCTACGTTACTGGGCACCGGGGCAGAAAACTGGATGGGAGCCCCGCCGGGAGGCTTGGTCTGGAGAATGGGAACCTGAAAGCCAGGTACTCTGCCAGAGCATCCTTTCCCTAGCTGAGGTGTGCCCAGAGCGTGACGGGGCCAAGGCAAGAAACACGGGGAGGTAAGTTCAAGCTAAGTTCAGAGGAATTCTCCCAGCCAGAGACAATGCCCTTTTCAGAGTCCTGTAATTAGTGCTATGCATGGCTGTCTCCAGCCTCACAAAAGGGTTGGGTTTACTCCTTTTTGCGTTCCCTGCAGCTTTAAGCCAAGTGTCCATAATCGATCGTGTGTGCTGCACAAAAGACCAACAAATGAATAAATGGAACCCCCTCTGGGACACACTTACCTGCACACTCCCACGCTCAGCCTGCCTGGGCCCCGCATTTTCCTCTTCATCATTTCCGGGTTCTCCCAGAGACCTTGGTGAAAGATTGTACTTGTGTCCTTAGTGAAATGACCAGGGAGACAGAGGGCAAGGAGATGGGGACAGCCGAATGTGAATACTTGACAATGGCTATCAAGGAATGCTCTAGGGATCTTAGGATCTTATATCTGTTGTTCTGATGTAATCTGGGGATCTTCAAACAGTTCAGAAGAGCCTGCGAGGGGGGACGATTTGTTGTTCAGATTTAGGCTGGTCAAGCCCTCCATCAATGGGAATGGTGACACAGGGCAGAAGGGGCTGACTCTTCACCTAGACAGACCCGTCTTTGCATCCTGGCTTTGCCAATGACTGGCTGTCACTGTCACAGTGTGACTTTGGGTTCATCAACGTACCCCAGTTCCCTCACCCACAAATGGTGACAAGACGGCGTGGGTGACTATGAAGATGAAAGAGATGACGTGTGCCCGTGCCTTGCTGAGGCCCTGGGATATGGACAGAGTAACATCGGCTGAAGCCTTGTAGCACAGGGTCCCTCTCATCAGCACTGGCGAGGTCACCACTGCAGTTACACAAGTCCTTAGAGTTCTACCTCAACTCTTGCGAGAGAGGAGAGGCATTGTGTGTGTCACAGTGACTTTTGCCAGCCTCCCTGCGGCAGCAGGGCTCTCTTGCCACATGAAGAAGTGTGGGGGGCCAGGGCCTCCATGGCCTCTACTGGGACTGACTGGCCATGAGAACACGTACCATGCGAGGGCTGGAGGTTGGTGCAAAGCCACGCCCACCTGCGTCCAAAAGGGTGGTTACATTGCACCATCAAATGGGGATTCTCTCTAGTGAGCAACCGGATGTGGGCATCTATTCTTCAGTTTCTTCCTCCATATGTAGAAGTCATCGATCCTCACAGGTCGATTATAAAGAGGCAATGAGGGCATGCACGTGCAACACCTACCCGGCCACGTGGTTGATAATCTCGCATTCACTTGGGCGGTGTCCTACCAGCTACGGACCAGAACTGTGCTCACCGTTCTGATTCAGGAACTCAACTCCATCAATAAAGGACAGCTTGCAATAGTCTGAAGATACCAGTCTGTCTTCTTGCTTTTAAAGTTACCACTGAGAAGTTGGGCATCTGCTGTTCCTTTGTAGGTGATCTCTCTTCTCTCCAGCTACTTTTCAGCTCTTCCCTTTGTCTTCTGTGTTCTGTGATTTCATTATGTTGCTGTGTCTAAGGGCAGATTTTTTTAACCTTCAAAATTAATTTAAGGTATGAAATACACTAAAATTTAAGTGTATAGTTAGATGAGCTTTGATAAATGATATCTTTGAAACTATCATCCAGTCAACATCTAGAAAAAAAATTTTAATTGAGATATAATGGACAAGATGTGGAAAATTTTCATCACCCCTAAAAGTTCTCATATGTGTCTTTAGAGGCAATTCTCCTCTGCCCCAGAAAACCCCTGATCCCTACAGCATGTAGTCTTTTGTGTCTGGCTTCTCTCACTTAGCAGTGTTTTTGAGATTTGCCCATGTTGTTTTCAATGTTGTAGCACTCCACTGCATGAACATATCACAGTTGGTTTATCCATTTACCTTCTGATTTATCTGTATGTCTAGCCTTTAACCAATATCTCATTGTCTCAATTACTGCAGCATTATAGTAGATCTTGAAATCAGGCTGTAGAAGTCCTCCAGCTCTGTTCTTTTCAAAACTGTCTTGGTAATTCTAGGTACCTGTATTCCTATATAAATTTTAGGATCCGTTTGTCAATTTCTACCCCCCCCAAAAAAAGCCCACTGGAATTTTGATTTCGATTAGGTTGTCTCTACTGACTTTGGATAACCTTAAATCCTCATGATACTGAGTTTTCCAATGCATGAACGTGTTATATCTCTTCATTAATTTAGCTCTTCTTTCTCTCAGCAATGTTTTGTAGTTTTTACTGAATAGATCTTGCACTTTTTTGTTGCATTTATCCCTAAGTATCTAATTTTTTGATGCTGTTCTAAATGGTATTTGATTTAAAAAATCATTTCCAATTGCTCATAGCATTTATATAGAAATAATTTAATTCTGTATGTTGACTTTTTTAGAATTTATTTATATAAAGGGGAGAGAGCAGCAGACTGCCCACTGAGCATGGAGCCCTATGCGGGCTCAATTCCAGGACCCTGAGATCATGACCTGAGCTGAAATCAAATGCTTAACCGACTGAACCACCCATGCACCCCTGTACGTTGACTTTGTATCCTTGTGATCTTGGTAGAATATTAGCTCTAGTAGCATTTGTATAGGCCGGTTACGATTTCCTATATACACAACCATGTTGTTTGCAAATAAAATAACTTTATCCAGTTTGAGATTTATTGTTTCCTAAATCTAAGAATGTAAGCCTTTGATTCTGGAAAATGCTCTGGTCTTTTCTCTTCAAATATTGCCTTTGCCCCACTTTCTTTAGCCTCTCTTGCTGGAACTCTTCCCTGTAGCTTCCATGTTTCTCAACTCACATTTTCCATGTTTTTATTTCTGTGTTGCATTGTAAATACTTTCTTCAGATTTAACTTCCATTTCACTGATTCTCTCTTCAGCTACATTTAATGCTTAACCTGTCCACTGAATTTTTACTTTCAATGATTATGTTTTTCATTTCTATAAACTCTTTTTGGTTCATTAAACCTACCTGGTCATTTTTAAAAGTCCTTTACTTTTTTTTTTTTTGTACTCTACCCCCAGTGTGGGGCTTGAATTCATGACCCTGAGATCAAGAGTTGCATGCTGTACTGATTGAGCCAGCCGGGTGGCCTGAAGTCCTTTGCTTTTTAAATTATCAACCCTCTCTTTTATCTCATTAAATGTATTAAATATACATTTTGTACTCTAAAGTCTTTGTGTATCTCACTTTTCTGTTCTGTTGTCTTTTGCTCAGGGTGACATATCTCCTTGAGTGTTTAATGATTTTTAACTCTGAGTAGATGCTTCTTGGAACTTTATCTGTGGAAATTCTCTCAGGCCTGGGTTGAAGATGTATGCTCCAGAGGAGCTGCATTTACCTTTGCTTCCTTGGACAGTTTAAAAATAAATTCTCAGCTTGAGGCTTTTCACACAGTGCATGTAAAAGGCTGAAAAGCCATGTGACAGCTTTCTTGTGTTTATAAAACCCTAGAGAGAGAGTTCCCTTCCTTAGCCAATGCCAAGGTCAACATGCTTCCTGCTGCAGAGAGCGTGCATTTCTAATTCATTTGTTCATCCACCTGAGGGTGTAGTATTTTGGGGACTCCGCTTTCTGTGGCAGTCTCCTACTGACCCTCCCACACTGATCAGGCCCTAGGTCTTGTCTTTGTCTCCCACACCCTTCCCAGCCATCTAAATGGAAGCTCTGGAGCAGCTTACTCTCTGGATTTTGGCTTTTGCTTTATTTTTGACTTCTGATATTTTGTTGACTTCCTTGCCATCTCATTAGTGTACTCAAAATACTATAGTTAGCATTTTTAGTTATTTTTAGTGGGAAGACTGTTCAGAGGAACTAATCACCATATGGAAATCTAAGGGATTTCTCCATCTTCTACTTCTACTAACCACTCAAGGGGAACACAGGGCAAGACAAGATAACCATGCCCTTCTCAAACAACTGTACCTGGGTGACATCTCTGAAATCTGTCCGTGCAGCAGATTTAATTTTTGGACATGGCGTCTACAGTCAGCACCAGAGCCCTCACCATAAGTCTGAAAAACAAAAAACAGTAAGTTTAAAAAGTGTTGACAAAAATGCTGAGAAACAGATCCATTAGTGATGTACCTCAGGAAGGGGAACCGCTGTCCTTTGCAAGGCCAGAAGCACCATGCAGAAATCCTGATGACTGACCACTGTTTCTGGAGTAATTTATTTACAAACTAACAGTCTCAGGGACTAATAGTTCTTGGCTATCTGGCTGTCCTTCTAGCACTCAGAACTCTACATATCAAAGACACACTCAGCCCCAAGCCCCACACTAAATGGTTAATGAATGTGAATAAGAAATGTGGAAGAGAGCTAACAGGAACCACCAATTAACACACAATAGGATACTTAGTATTGACTGATGATCAAAGGAACATAAAATAAAACAAAGTACTTTTTTTTTTTTCACTTAGCAGTGGCTTATTTGTCTAACAATATTTATCACACACCTATTATGTGCCAGGCCCCTGAACCAGGTAAGGACAATACAGAAGTGGACAAAAATCACTGTCACCGTGGAGTGTACATTCTAGTGAACACCAGAGTGTACATTCTATATGTTATATAAACATAGAACTATGTGGCCATCAGAGGATGAGAAGTACCACCCAGGGAAATAAGGCAATGAAAGGTGTAGAGTGGGGACAGAGTAGTCTATTTTATATAGGGTTTTCAGGGAATAGATCACTAAGGTGACATCTGAGCACAAAACAGGAAGATAGGAGGGCCGAAGCCATGTAGATACCTGGGGGAAAGCATCTGGCAGAAGCAATGAAACAGACATGAGAGCAAGGACACTGAGCCTGGCATTTTGGGGGAACTGTAAGGAGGCCACATGGCTAGAGCTGAGTGGTCTGGGGGAAAATGGTACAAGATGAGGTGTGAGTGTAGTTCCAACCACAGGCAGTCAGCCTCATGGGCACGAGACCTGTTCTGTTGCTGCCATCTTGAAAACATTTTTTTATTTTTTATTTGAAATTCTTAATAATCTTACCTTTGAACTTGTGTTGTGTAAGTCAAGTCTGATGGGACAATGGGTCATGTCTGTAAGCAGGGATATACACACTATACATGCCCATTGTTCCTTGCTGCACCATTTGCATACAGCATGCTCAATGACCCAGGAGCACAGGATTCCAGTGGACTCACAAAACAAGTGCGATTGTTCACTGAGAGTTGGAGTGTAGACGTTAAGTGTTTGTCGTCTACACCTGAGTAGAGGCACCCACAGCCTGAGAGGCCAGGCTTTCCACAGAACAAGAGCTTGCTTCAGATGCAGACAAAAGGCAAGGGTGTTCTAAACATACACGAACAACCAAGGAACTCTATCATATCTTTTTTTATTCCTGTTAATTGCCTAGAAGAGCTGATCACTTATACTGAAAACAATGACCCAGAAGGAAAAGGCAAGGCAGGGAGACCCCTGTTCCTTTCCCTTCCAGTCCTTCCTTACGCATCAGGGAGCTGATGGGGGATAGTGTGGGGAGAGAGAGTGCATATTAATAAGTAGAAAAAAGTTGAGCTAATTTTGTGCAGCATTTCCACTGTCCTGGTAAAAATGAAATACACAGGCATGTATGAGCTCCAAAATATAAGTAGGGCAATTTGGATGATCCTGCATATATAGTAAATGTTCTTGTATTATTCTGCATATGGACTAAACGCTCTTTGCATTTTAAACTGGTGTTGCACAATACCAATGGTAAAATTCATGCTAATAATTTAAAATAAATTGTTTTTTAACTTAGGAAGACATTCCACAGTAAATAAAAAACATTATGAGAAGTCAAGAGAGACCAGGAAAGAAAGGAAAAACTTAGTATTTTAGTACTTTTCACAGCTTTTTTTCCTGTTTTTGAACAAGGGGCCTCCCATTTTCATTTTGTACCAGGCACACTTGGCCCTGTCTATAGGACCAGGGATTTTGCTCTAACCTGGAAGGTTGGGGAGAGTGGCTTGGCCCTGCACACGTTGAAGCAGGACCTCAGGCTGTGGTGCTGAGGGCAGGCTGTAGGGCAGTGACAGGGCAGGTGGCAGGAGGCTGCTGCAAACAGTGGTGTGGCTCAGACCATTGAGTAACAAATGGTCAGTCTGGGTGCATCCTCAAAGGAGAGCTGACAAAATTTGCTGATGGACTGAAGAATGTTTAAACAAACAAAAAAAAGGAGTCATGGATGACTCCTAGGTTTCTGGCCCAAACAATTAACAAGGGACTTGGCACATATGCGACCAGGAGGACTGTGGGAGAGCAGGTGGGTGGGGGGAGGCGAGGCCTTCTGTTTGGAAAGGGGGGTTCTGGATGCCTGTCAGAGAACCAGTAGAGAGCTCAATGGGCGGTTCAGGGCTGGGCCTGGGGCCTGAGACAGACATCCCAGAACTGTCAGATGATCTCCGCTCAGACCACTAAGAGAGTGAGGCCAACAAACTGAGCACCAGAACAATTCTCATGTTTCGAAGTTGGCAAGACAGGAAAAAGCTAGCCAAGAGGACTGAACCCAGCCAGAAAGACAGCAGGAGAACCAGGAGTGGGGTGACTGGAAGTCCAAGTGAACACAGCGTTTGAGGGGGAGGAAATGACAAACTGTAACAGACACTGCCGACAGGTCAAGTCCCTGGAGGCCTGAGAACTCCCTACTGTTTTTAGCAAATGGAAAGCACCACTGACTTTGACAGGAGCCATTTT